TTCTTTTTTTTTTTTTTTTTTTTTTTGTGAGACAGAGTTTCGCTTTTGTTACCCAGGCTGGAGTGCAATGGCGCGATCTCAGCTCACCGCAACCTCCGCCTCCTGGGTTCAGGCAATTCTCCTGCCTCGGCCTCCTGAGTAGCTGGGATTACAGGCACGCACCACCATGGGCACCTAGAATTTTCTAGGCACTGTGTTAGGAGTAAGACACATATAGACTTTGCCTTCATAGAGCCTACTTTTTACTAGGAGAATTTGAAATAAATAAATAAAAAGCAAAAATGAGTTAGTTATGGCATTTATAAGTGCTTTGAAGGAGAGTTTTAGAATTCGATGAAAGTGTACAACACGGGACTTAATTTGAGAAGCAGAGAAGACTTCCCTGAAATGATGAATAGTAATGAACCAAGCAAGATGGCTAAGTACGTGAGGGAAGGGCACTATCTTAGAAAGACAAGCATGAGCACGTATAAAACCCTGGAGCTGAAGGAGGCACTGGTCTATTACCACACTGGAGAGTTAGTTTTAAATTCTGGGACTTGATTCAAACTTTGAGAAATAAAATTCCAGCCCTTCCACTTGCATGCTTTGAGGGTTCTCTAATTCCTAGTTTTCTTTGTAAATGGGGATAAAAACCATCACGATAATAACATCACAACAAGAAGTCAGTGATAATAATGTCTTTTGCGAAGTGTCTGGCACATAATGGGTACTCACTGGATATTCAACAATAAATGAATGATGGTTGAGATGATTAAATAATATAATAAATGTGGAAAAGCCATAATCGTTCATTTTATGCTGCACACTTCTGGATCATGTCTTGAATTTGTGTTTTACATAAATTATGTTGGAGGCTCTGGGTCTTTTTATATTGCTCCAGAAAATGATTTTGTTGTTTTGGTATTCAGTTTACTATGTTGGACTCAAACTACAAGCTCTGTCTTTTCAGCAACATGAGGAAGAATCATGAACTAATCATGGAAGCATTGATGTGCTAAGTGTTAAAATAACAAATTTCAGTTTAGTTTTTTTTATTCTTAGCAGGACTGCTCTGAATATGAGCTGCATATGTGTGGTTTTAGATATGAGCCATAAATTTGGATAGGGTTTATACTCAAAATGTGATTCTACCCTTCTCTATGCCCGGATATCTTTCTTGGATATCCCCCTCACCATTCTAGAAACTATGGTTGCCTTGAAGTCTGTCCTCTGGTTCATCAGTCTAGGAATTCTGTGAGTTTTCTAATGAAATTTTGGCATGGGCAATACTGAGACTTGCTTGTAGGCTAAAAGGCTAAAATTGGAGTTCGCACAATGTTGTTTCCTTCTTCTCTGTGTCCATTTCTCTCCAGATTTTGCCCCTTCTATTTACCCTTTGGAGTGACTTCAGGCAGTTCCTTTTCGTGTTTGTCTGGAGTTAATATTTGCTGTCTGTGAGAGGGCCACTGGAGTCAGAGCTTAATTGGCAACTCCATAAATGGAAATTATACCTATTTGTAATCAAGTAAGAAGCTCTAGTGGATACCTGTTTATTTGAAGTTGTCTAGAATTTTGTCACATGTCCTTCCTTTTCATCAGTTACCATTCATCCTTAGGCTTGTAGGGAAGAGCATGACTTCCTTAAGCGTATTTTTTCCTATAAATTATCAGAAATAAGTGAAAAAGAAACTGCTGTTGGGATACCCTCAATATCCTCCAGGAATGATTTCCTCATGGATATAATCAATACCCTCTAGGAATGATTTCCTCATGGATGCAGAGATTTGTTTTTCTTTCCCTTCCTTGAATTAGGAAGAAATGATGTTATGAATTAGACAAACCTAAACTACTACTAAATTAAGTTCTCCTGTGAGGTTCTACTTGGAATAGAACCAATAACATTCCCAGGATTGGCAGAAAAATCAAACAATTGATTTTTGATGCTCAACTTAAGTACTTTGCAATGCTTAACTGGGCATGAGGCATTATGAGGCATCTTTGCCTCATAGAGGAACTTACCACTTTCACTTTATAGATGTGATGAAGAATAGTCTTTCTTATAGATGGTCACATAAAAAATAAAAATACCGTAGGAAGCACAGTATCTTTTCTGCCTGGGATTCTTTGAAAATAACAAGATATGTAAGATAAAAATTATGTCCTAGAAGTGTTTGCAATCCTTCAGGGAAGAAAACAAATTTCAAAGCAAGGCTGAATAATATGTTTTAGAGAAGCATATGCAGTGTGACTTCATGTGCACAGAAGAAATAATTAACTCTGGCAGAGAGCCTTGAAGGATATTTTTAATCTACAATATTTGAGCAGGATTTCAAAAAATTATTTATTGTGATAAGTGAATTAGGAAAGGATATTACAGCCTGAGGAAGAATCATGAACTAATCATGGAAGCATTGATGTGCTAAGTGTTAAAATAACATCAATACTCCATGGTGACAACAGTATCACAAAACTCTTAATGAACTAGTAAGAAGTAAGACTGTACACTCATCGGGGAACATATCATGAAAATCCTTGAACACAGTGCTAAGCATCTGGATATAAAAACAGTGTTTCTAAAATTCTTTAAAAAGCCACACAGATACACACATGTTTAATAAAAGGCAATTTATGAAAAACACTAGTTGTAGTTAAGAAAAGAGGAGTAGTAGTTTAAAGACTAAAGATGGCATTTTTGGTTTGGATAACCAAGGAGAGCTTTAGAAGGGAATAGTAGTTGAACTTGGCCTTGGAATTTTGAGCAGAGTGTTGAACATTGTGACATGTAGAGCTGGGTGGCCTTGGAAGATAAAATTGGAAGAAGGACACAAATTTCAAAGCCCACATGAATTACACAGGTAGATAAAACGACCACACAGCTTAAAATATGAGAGATTCTGAATACATGAGGTATTATTTAGAATAGCAAAGCTACTGTGCTTTATCTCAGTTTAGATGCCATTAATAATTTGTACCATTATTTCATGTAATAGTAAGTGGGGAGAAAGTCGTCAATTGGAATATTAATTACAGTTATTAATTGTAACTCTAACATATTGGAATATGAAAAATTACATAAATAAGTAGTGAAATGTCTAAACAACTCTTATCATCTACATTTTGCCATGAAAATATTTAGTTTTTCAAAATAATCTTCAAACGAACAATTCATTTGAAATATACAAAGATATCAACTTACATAAAATTTAATTGCTATTCCCCCAAATAATTTTTGCCAAAAACCCAGCTAGAGTTGAATACAACACCACCTTATCAAACAACAGGCAAGAACAGAATGTGGTTAACATTACTATGTGCTTAGAAAATGATGAGGGAAAAAAATCTATCCATTCAACTCACTTGGGCGATGCTTATATGATGCCATTCAGGGTCTTTTGGTACCTTTGCTGAATTTCAACAATTCTATTCACTGGGCATTGCAGAAACTGACAGAAAACCAGTTATACTTTTTTTTTTTCTCAATTGCCCCATTGCCTTCTATTTACTCAGAAAGTAACAACTTTGGGAGACTAAGATTTTATACTGTAAGTTCAAACTTCCAATTAAAAGCCACTCTCTCTATAGCTCTGACATGTTTTTCTCTATTTCTCCCATAAATTAGTGAACTTGCAGGCTTTACTTTTACATAATGGCTCCAAGGGTCTTACCACATGTCATTTAGTCTGAGTTTGGGGAAAAAAACAGTTGACTTTTTTTTTAATCAAAATAAAAAGACAAGACCATCATTATATTTCTGGAAGCAATAGGGGTCACACAGGTTGTAGTGCAGCCTCAGAGAGCTGAACAGCTTTTAGGTAGGTATTATTTTGCATAATTTTATATTAATCCACACAGTAATAATCTAGTAGATTAGATTTTACTTTTCTCTCTTGGAAAATGACATACATGTTTCTTTCCATATAGATATGAATTTTAAAAGTGCAGCTAATGAGGAATTAACAGCCATCAAGCTATAAATAGGTTTCATCCATTAATTAGTTTCTGTCTGGGGCATGCCTATGGCCATGTCAATAAATATGAATATTGAAACTAAGAAGCTATGTCTGGGAGGCTGGGCCATTTAGCACATGAAACTTCATTTAGGGAATTAGAAAGTCCTGAAAAACTCTTGATTCATCAGTTACATGGCTATTCAACACTGAATCCATTGTGAAGAAATGTTAAATATCTATCATATATTTGATTCACATAGTACCAACTAAACAATGTGTTTGCTTTCTCATTGAAATGTTTAAACACTGCAAAATCCCCATGCCACAGTTACATCTCTAATTAAAGTTAAACTTTTAAAATATTCCTCATCAAAATATAATATGAGATTATGCATTTTAAAGTTTCATTCCTCTTCTCCTTACAGATTATAAAATCTTTATGTATATGTTCCAAGAATTTAGAATAAGGTATGTGTATCTCACTTGGTTAACTTGTAAGGAAAGTGCCAAATTCCAGATTTATGTTGTCTGATACCATTCCAGTTGAAGATATTTTTGTGAATTTTAAAAATAATGAAAAGCTGTATTATGCATCTATGTAATTTATATAAAATCTTTCCAATTTTTTTATTGTCAATCCATCTCTTCTTGAAAAAGTGAAATGTACTAACTTCATCTCCATGGATTTTCATTTTCCTAGTGTATGTCATGACATAAAAGTATTGATGAAACATGAGGTAACCAGATAACAAGTTAGAGAATATATTAATTTGGATGCATTTGTATGCATGGAATAAAAATCTCAACTCAAAATATCTTAAATAGTGGACAGTATCTGTTACTGAACAGAGCGATGTATACTGAAATGGGGCAGCTCCCAAGTTGGCAAATTTCGCGGTTCAAGGACGTCATAAAGAGCCCAAGTACTTTCTGTCCTTACACTCTTGCCATACCTCATGGATTGGCTCTCTCTGCAGGGCAGCTCCCCTTGTGATTTCTGCTGCAGCTCCGTCAGTCATGTGAAAACCTAAGAAATTACAGGTAAAAAAAAGGGATGTGCTCATTATTAAACTGAGCACAGACGAGCAAGAAGAGATGGTCACGGCTGCTCAATGAAGCACATGATTATTGGAAAATGTTGGGATGCTGAGTAACAAGGATGCACTGTAAGTAAGAAGGGTGGGCTGAACAGGAGAGAGAAAATGAAAACAGAGGACAAGCTCCCAAAACCGCAATCGGACAAGTTTTCTTTTAAAAGGTGCATATATTTATCCAGTATGTCTTGTGTAACCAGAATCAGTCAGCCTCTTAGAAGTTGGAACTTACAGCATAACTTAGCCATCATTCCAAACCTCTATCCATTTCATCATACTTCAGTTGATGCTGCCTTATTTTTTCCTATGTTGTTTTGGCTTATTATTTACTTTCTTTAATACATACCTTACCTCACTAATGAGAGCATGCTCTTTCTTGCTCTTTTTCTTCCCTTTTCCCATCCCCTTTTATTTACATTTTTAATTGGCCACTTGTCTATTTTGATACCTCAAGATGCTAATAGGTCTTAAAACTCTTATACTTCTCTCAAAGAACCAGAGTAAGCCCTTTCATATCTACCTTCCCTGTGTTTAGCACATGCTAATTTTGTTGTAGATTCTCAAGGAAATGCTTGCTGAAGACTGCATATATTGAAAAGGCCAGAGGGTGGCACTATGGAGAACCAAGCTTGTGAGGTCCACAGGACACAGAGCTACGAGTTGCTGCTGACTGACTTCTCCGAAGAGTCCAAATTTTAATATTTGATTGTCTAGGCATTATCATGCACATGTATCTTAGTCTAAACTAGAAACAGATTATTTACTACCAGGATTTACACTTCTTATGTTTTAGATGTTTGGTTTATAAAAGTCTTCAGAGAATACCTGGTTTTGTTACCGTTTAATCTGTTTCCATCCTTGCCAAAATGTTTACCTTGACTATTAAGACAGGAGAAGGAACTCATCTGTGTGATGTAGCTGAAAGGGTTAAATTTCCTGGTCATTTAATCTGAGAAGCCAAAACATTTGTTCTTGATTTGTGGAAGGCAAGGAGCTTCGCTTAGCCTGAAATATTCATCAGTAAACAAATAGAACAAATAATATTAATGCCAGGTATGAAAAGCAGAGCTTCGCCCATAGCGAAAGGACATACTCGGCTAGGGATAGAGGAAATCGAGCAGCAGAGTACAATCCAGTACCAGGCACATGGCTTAAGTCTGCTGCCAAGTCACATAACTTGAACTTAACCGGGTAGCACTGCCTTTGTTGGTAGGTACTGCCATCTTCAAACACCAAGGACAGTGACATTTCTATGGCCCTGTCCCGTCTCTCAGAGCTTGCTCATCCTCAGGCTTTTAATACCAATATATGTATTGAGGATCCTTTTAAATAATAGCAGGATATATTGGGAATAAGTTAGCTTAAGTTAACATTGCCATAGAAACAGAACTGAGAGGCAGGGGTTGGTGGCTCATGCCTATAATCCCAGAACTTTGTGAGGCCAAGGCGGGCAGATCGTGAGGTCAGGAGTTTGAGACCAGCCTGGCCAATATGGTAAAGCCCCATCTCTACTAAAACTACAAAAATTAGCCGGGCCTGGTAGCGCATGCCTGTAGTCCCAGCTACTCATGAGGCAGAGGTAGAAGAATCGCTTGAACCCAGGAGGCGGAGGGTGCAGTGAGCCAAGATCATGCCACTGCACTCTAGCCTGGGTGATAGAGCGAGACTCTGTCTCAAAAATAAATAAATAAGTAAAACAGCGACTAAACAGGATTAGCAGACTGCATGTCTTAGTTCATTCAAGTTGTTATAACAAAATACCATAGACTAGGTGGCTTATAAAAAACAGAAATTTATTCTCAGTCTGAAGGCTGAGAATCAAGGCACTGGAAGATTCATTATCAAGTGAAGGCTCACTTCTTGGTTCATAGAAGGCATCTCCGTTGCTGCATCCTCATATGATGGAAGAGGCAAACAACCTCCCTTCAGCCTCATTTAATAAGGATACTAATCCCATGCATAGGAGATCCACCTTCATTACCTAATCACCTCTCAAAAACCCACCTCTTAATGCCATCACCATGGGGTTAGAATTTCAGCCTATGAATTTTAGAGGGCACACACGTTCAGACCATAGCACTGTACCTTCAGTTTGGGAGCCCAAATCCTTCTAGTGGGATTCCTGAATTGTAAAATGAGAAAAGTTATTGACATTATGTTTCTGTAACTTGATTCTCTTACCATCTCACTTTCCAGTTCTGATATAATGACCAGAATAGAAAAGACATTCAGAAAATTTGCTTCTTTATCTTGGACATACAAGAAATGTAGGGTCAAAAAGTCTTAAGAGTCAGTATTTAAGAGCTATTATACATTTCCCTTAAATAAGAGGTAATGGTTTCTGAATAAATGTTTTTACAGAATATCTATTTTTTATCTTATGGTTTACTGATACAATAACTTTGTTCTAAAAGGGAGCAATAGGTTGATCATAGGTTAATTATAGAATTGACATTCTCCAAAAGCTAAAATTCCAGAAGATATTACATACCAATTTATATATGGGAAGCCAAAAGTATTGTTCAGATTTATGCCTTCTGGATTGTTAGTACAAGCCACAGATAAATATCTGTGTCATCTGAAATTGAGTTTCAAAACAATCTTGCTATTATTTATTAAGTCATGGGTCAACCCAAGTCAAAACATTAGTAGAAAAAGTGTTCTTATTTATGTTAATGACTACAAAAATCATTGAATATCTTTTAAGGTTTTCAAAATGTCTCCTAAAATAGACCATTTTAAGCAATTTATTTTTAATTGAGAATTTTATGTAACTCATGGGGGCAGTATCCCCCATACTGTTCTTGTGGTAGTGAATAAGTCTCATTAGATTTGATAGTTTTATAAAACTCAGTTTCCCTGCACATGCACTCTTGTCTGCCACTATGTAAGACATGCCTTTGCTCCCCCTTTGCCTTCTGCCATGATTGTGAGGCCTCTCCAGCCATGTTGAACTGTGAGTCCATTAAACCTCTTTATTTTATAAATTACCTAGTCCTGCATATGTCTTTATAAGCAGCAAAAGAACAAACTAATACCATAAATTGGTACCTACAGAGTGGGGTGCTACTGTTAAAGATAGCCAAAAATGTGGAAGTAACTTTGGAACTGGATAACAGACAGGCTGGCACATTTTGGAGGGCTCGGAAGAAGACAGGAAAATGTGGGAAAGTTTAGAAATTCATAGCAACTTGTTGAATGGCTTTGACCAAAATGCTGATAATGATATGGACAACGAAATCCAGGCTGATGTGGTCTTAGATGGAGCTGAGGAACTTGTTGGGAGTTGGATTAAAGATGACTCTTGCTCTATTTTAGCAAAGAGACTGGCAGCATTTTCCCTTGCCCTAGAAATTTGTAGAACTTTTAACTTAAGAGAGATGATTTAGGGTATCAGGCAGAAGAAACTTCTAAGCAGCAAAGCATTCAAGACGTGACTTGGGTTGCTGTTAAAAGCACTCGGTTTAAAAAAAAAAAAAAAACAGAACATGAAAATTCCAAAAATTTGCAGCCTGATGATGCAATAGAAAAGAAAAACTGTTTTTTTATGGAGAAATTACAGCTGGCTGCAGAAATTTGCGTAAGCCGAATGTTAATCACTAGATAATGGGGAAAATGTCTCCATGACATGTCAAAGAGCTTTGCATCAGCCCGCCCATCACAGGCCTAGAAGCCTAGGAGGAAAAAATGATTTTGTGGGCCAGGCCCAGCACATCCCTGCTGTGTGCAGCCTCGGGTCTTGGTGCCCTTCACCCCAGCCACTCTAGCTATGGCTAAAAGGGGCCAAGATACAGCTTGGGCCATGGCTTCAGAGGATGCAAGCCCCAACCTTGGTGGCTTCCATGTGGTGTTGAGCCTACTGGTACAGGGAAGTCAAAAATTGAGATTTGGGAATCTATGCCTTAGACTTCAGAGGATGTATACAAATGCCCGGATGTCTAAACCAAAGTTTGCTCTAGGGGCAGAGCCCTCATGGAAAACCTCTACTAGGGAAGTTGGAAAGGGAAATGTGGGGTTGAAGCACTGACACGAAGGGCCACCTTCCTCCAGCCCCAAGAATGGTAGGTCCACCAACAGCTTTCACCGTGCTTCTGGAAAAGCTGCAGACTCTCAATGTCAGCTCATGAAAGTAGCTAGGAGTGAGTCTGTACCCTGCAAAGCCATACAGGTGGAGCTGCCCAAGACCCTGGGAACCCACCTCTTGCATCACCGTGACCTTAATGTGAGACATAGAGTCAAAGGAGATCATTTTGGAGATTTAAGATTTGACTGCCCTGTTGGATTTTGGACTTGCATAGGGCCTGTAGCCCCTGTGTTTGAGCCAATTTCTCCCATTTTTAATTGGGGTATTTATCTAATGCTTGTATCCCCATTGTATCTAGGAAGTGTTGTTTTTGATTTTATAGGCTCATAGGCAGAATGGACTTGCCTTACCTCAGATGAGATATTTGGACTATGGACTTTTGAGTTAGTACTGAAATTAGTTGAGACATTTGGGTACTACAGGGAAGGCATGGTTGGTTTTGAAATGTGAAGACATCAGATTGGGGAGGGGTCAAGGACAAAATGATATGGTTTTGCTACATCCTCACCCAATTTCACCTTGAATTGTAATAATCCTCATGTGTCAAGGGCAGGGCCACATGGAGATAATGAATCATGGGGATGGTTCTTCCCGTACTGTTATGGTAGTAAATAAGTCTCATGAGATCTGATGGTTTTATAAAGGACAGTTTTCCTGCACACATGCTCTTGCCTGCCCTCATGTAAGATGTGCCTTTGCTCCTCCTTTGCCTCCTGTCATGACTGTGAGGCCTCCCCAGTCATGTGGAACTGTTAGTCCATTAAATCTCTTTGCCTTATAAATTATTCAGTTTTGGGTAGGTCTTTATTAGCATCATGAAAACAAACTAATACAGTTTCCTAGGAACTAGTTCATGCTCAAAGAATACCTCAAAAAATATTTTCCTTGTTACTCTTCCGTTGTATGCAGAATAACAGCCCCTACGGAGGTCCATGTTCTAATTTCCAAAACCTGTCAATATGTTACCTTACACGGCAAAAGGGACTCTGCAGATATAATTTAATCAAGGACTTTGAGATAGGGAGATGATCTGGATTATCCAGTTGGATCCAATGTAGTTGCAAGGGTCTTTATTAAGAGGAAGAAAGCAGATTTAGAGTCAGAAAAAATTCTGCATAATGACAAAGAGGAGAGAAGCAGAGTCAAAGAGAGAATATGCTATGTGAGCTACTTAGAAGATGGAGGAAGAGGATATGAGCCCAAGGATGCAGGTGGCTTCTAGAAAAGGCAAACAAATATCCCTTCTATATCCTTTCTGTTTACACCTTGATTTTAGCCCCTTAAGACTCAGTTTTGCATTTCTGACCACCAGAACTTTAAGATAATAAACTTTTGTTGCTTTAAACCACCAGATATGTGATGATGTGTTACATTAGCAATAGAAAACTGACCTATACCTCCCTGTCCATGTTCTAGAACTTCTAGGTAAATTTCTCAATTCTTTATCTTTAGGCATCTTCTCTGCCTGCGAGACCATCAATAATGGAAAAGGATTTTTCCAGTGCTTTTTAGGCCAGAGAGAGAGAGGGAAGGAAGGAAGAAAAGAGCAAGACAAAGAGGAAGCAAGCCAGTGGAACAGTGAATGCTGTAATGCAAAGGTAACATAAGTGTGAAACAGTTTAGAGTCAGAAAAGGCAGACTGGAGAAGCTTTAGTGCTGCTAGTCAGAAGATGATTTTGGTACAAATCCCGACTCCTGAGTTAAGGGTAATCAAGTCTTAAGTTGCACAAATAATATCCAACGTTGCTTTAAGAAAAGAACAGGGAAATAAAATACCTGTGTTCTTATCTTTCTGGGAAAAATGATGGTAGAATGAACCATTCAGTCATTTCCAAGAAGTCAGGCATTCTTCTCATATGGAGGCAGAAGCCATGCTGTTGTTTTCCAGAGGAGGGCTACCAGTGTTGAATGTCACTGAATTCCTAAGTTGCACTCTTAATCTTTCAATACATTTTTGTTCTGGGAGGAATAATCCCACTGAGTCTCAAGGCAGGGAATTAAGGTAGTTTTAGGAATTGATGATAAAAATAATGTAAGCAGTTTAAAAGATCAATGAGAAACCCATAGCTCAAGACCTTGCTGTTTTACCAGCCTCAGTTCAGGACAATTAGTCCTGTATCCTCTCTACTGGAGGGCAACCTTTAGTCACCTTCTCTGCCATGCAAAGCCTAGATTTGCATAGAATTAGAATGGGTCCCAGCCTCCATACTTCCTTCCATTTCTCAAGAAAATATCCTGTATCTGCCATCTCCTTGCTGAGTGATTTCATGTCAGGCTGGATTTTGCTTTCTCTTAAGAAGTAATTATCTAGGAAAAAAGGTTATATCTCATTGTAGCTTTGAACTCCTGGGATCGAGTGACCCTCTTGCCTCAGTGTCTCAAGCAGCTGGGACTACAGGTGTGCATTACCATGCCCAGCGAATTTTTAAATTTTTTTGTAAAGACACAGTCTCTCTATGTTGCCTAGGTTGGGTGTCCTTTTCTGATAAGCAAAAGCACAGCTCTTGCTATAGCACAGCTTTTCATATAGAAATTTAAAAACCTGCACCCTGTGTAGGGACACAAATAACTGAATAGAAACACATTTGAAAACCCTACAAAGGAAGATGGAGTAACAGAAGCTAAAACCTTTCTTCTTGATATGCGTCTTAACATAGAAGTATGTGGATATAAATGAAGCTATTACAGGAAATTTTGTTTGTAGAGCCAAAATCTAAACTAACTCTTTTTTCTTTTCTTTTTTTTTTTTACTTCTCTGTTGAATTGCCACTCTGTCCTGCAAAAAGGACCCTGACTTTACCATTGCACTTTTACCTTGCTCTTTTAGCCTCCAAGACATAACCACCAGAATTATCGTAGACATTCTTTACTCCTCTTAAGAGACACATTTTTGCACTTGTAGCTGAACTTCTCTCTCGGGCCTGTCTGATTCTCAGGGCTGACTTTTTATATATATATTTTTAATATTTCAGAAAACTTTTGCTACATTCAGCTATATATATTTAAAGGAAATGAAACACATCCCATTTTAATTGCTTGGTCTCTAAATCTACCACTGGTCTCCTGTGTCAGTTAGCTACTGCTGTGTAACAATCCAATCAATTTCAGTGGATTATAGAACCAAAAATATCCTTTATTGCTTATGAGTCTCCACGTTAGCTGAGTAGTCTGGTCATAGCTGGGCTCAGGCAGATAGCTGCCGTTAGCCATTGGTGTGGCAAATGTGGCTCTGATGATCTTGGCTGGTCTTTTTCACATTCTACAGAATGAACTGGCTGCAAACAAGTCTAGGATGGCCTCAGCTGGGATAATTGGGATCTCTTCATATGGTGTCTGAATCCCACAGGCTTGTCTAGATTTGTTTACAGGACAGTGACATAGTTCTGAGAGAGCATGGAAACATGTACCACCACTGACATCTGCCTTAGGTTCTGCACATGGTTCCCTTCACTGTATTCTCTCGGCCAAAGTAAGTCCGAAGGTCGACTTAAAGCAGAGAAACAGATGCCATCTCATAAAGGGAAAAGTACACAGAATTTTTTTTTTAATCAATGAACACCATTTATTTGTGTGGAAGAGCCAGACCATGCCCTACTATTGCTTTAACAAAGAAAACCATCCTAAACTGGCTTCTGGTTTTGAATACGGGATTTGGTTCAATGGTTTTAAAAAATCAAATGCCAATCTTTGAAAACATAGTCTACCACTTAGTTCTTTCTGTTTAGATCTTCCCACAAATATAGAACGTCTGCCTCCGAATAGACAAAATAATAAACAATGAAAAGTGATATGTGGATTTTGAGACTGCAGTTCATCGGAATATACCTTTGCTTCTGCAGGGCCTTTTAATTAAAATAGATTAAAAGGCAACAAAAACCTAAAATCAAAAGCTCTAATTCTTCTTAAAATTAGCAAAGAACTCTACTCCTTGCTTGATTTCAACAACAAGCTTTCTACTAACATTACTTGTTTCCACAGTTTTTGCATCTGTATTCTATTCTGGATGGGAGAGTTTTATTATCTCATGTATACATTTAATTAAACTGCTTTAATTAATCAGGAAAGAAAGTTTTGCCTAAAGAACCCTGGATGATTTTTCCCGTTAGGGCCAAGAACACTTGATTAGCACCTAGAATATCCATTTTCTGGAACTCAACAATGTCTTCATGTTTTGGGCTGAAACTGCCGTTGCTCTTTTTGAATAAGTGTGAATTTTCTTCTCAGAGACCTCAGGTGTGCACTTCTTATTGGCTATTTGTGTGCTGTCTCCTAATCAAGACATCAGACTGGTCTGTTGGCCACCAGTTTTACTCCCTAGCCTCTATGGGCTTTCTGTAGCTTGCAGTGTAATTTTTCACATGAACAACTTCTAAGGAGGAAACAGTTCAACATAACTTTTATACATTCAGTTCTCCAGAAACTTGCCATTTCTCTTTCAGGAGAAAACCAGCTTCTTTCAGTGTGGTCCCATATAGGTTGCAGAGCCAAAAAATTGTATGTAAAATAAGATAAAAGTCTCACTTAGGCCATATATATATATATGCATAGTTCATAAAGCTACTCTTTATTCTCTCTGCTTTCCATATTTTCTTTAAATACTCTTAGTTACTAAAGTCATATTTTCTAATGTTTTTGCAAAAAAAGAAAACTGCTGGAAAATACTTAATTACAATGCATTCTTTTTTTTTTTTTTTTTTTTTTGATGGAGTCTCACTCTGTCGCCCAGGCTGGATTGCAGTGGCCTGATCTTCACTCACTGCAACCTCTGCTGCTCGGGTTCAAACTATTCTCCTGCCTCAGCCTCCCAAGTAGGTGGGAATATGGGTTCCTGCCACCAAGCCCAGCTAATTATTGTATTTTTAGTAAAGATGGGATTTCACCATCTTGGCCAGACTGGTCTCGAAATCCTGACCTTGTGATCCACCTACCTGGACCTTCCAAAACAATGCACTCTTAGTAATAGCTTGTAAAGGGTCACTGCCACCTCTAGGCTTTTTGTTAGTGTTGATTAATTATGAATACACTCAACAGAAAGATTCAGTTAACCAGTGGGGATATTTTTGATGAAAGCTTTTAATCATGCAGAAGTTCACTTCTGAACCCTTTGCCATAAGCGGTAAAGGGACTCTTCTCTTAAGAGGCTACTGCCTTTACTGTGGAGGCTAAACAATAAAAACACAGCTACAATATATGTCAGAGTTCCGAGCTCCTCCTGCTTCTCAGACTCATTATCCAAAACTTTAATTTTTCAAGAGAGAAATCACTGAAGTTATTCCAGCCAGAGGCACGTACATTCTTCAATTTAACCTCTATCTTTAATCCCTGCTTGATTTTCTGTCCTGGAGAAGCAAGTCTGAACAATCCCCGTTTCTCTTTGTTGGGCTGCTACCTAGCAATATTCACGTGGCATCGTTTCCGTTTGCCCTCACTTACTGTCCTAGTATTAAGTATCTTTCTAATCATTATGGTTAAACATGCTTTGAATTTTTCACATATGCTGGGAAGGCTTTGCATGAGGGTGAGATGTTGAGAAGCCAGTCTCAAGTGGAGGGCAACCATTCTAACATATCTGCCTATTTCTGCCAAATGCTTCTTTTCATTGCTGGGAAAACTGTTTGTTACTATGGTTATCTTTATTATATTGGCAGGAAATATAAAAGCTTAGCTGTCTGCAGTTCTGCCTGTGATGCTGGGACACGTAGGAGAACAACTCTTCGGGTTACAGCTTTTCTTCTAATTCCATTCACACTCCCTAAGACCAGACCTTCCAGGGTGCTGGCGGGCAGGCCAGCTGCCTCTGTTGCTATTCCATCTCAGAAATTCTGAGCAGCCAACTTCCTACATTTTGCTTTGCCAACATTATTCCACCTGCTTTCTTTCACACCATTTTGTTAAACTTTCTCCCTCTGCTGATGCCTTCACCAATCCCCCCAAACCACACTTCCTTTGCAATTGTGGATTTACTCATTTTTCTATTTTTCTGAAATTTTAAGTGAGTATCAAAAGAGAGAGGATATGGTTGCCCAATTTAGGAAATAAATACAGGACACCCAGTCACATTTTAATTTCAGATACACAACAATATTTTAAAAGTATAAGTATGTCCCACGAAGTATTTGGGGCACACTGATATTGAAACAAATTGAAATAAACATCTTCTTGTTTATCTGACAACCCTAAATAGCAAACCTCACCCACTGGCACACTCAGGCTGCTATCTTTAAGTTGAACTTCCTTCTAGATTTTTGATGCTTTTTAACATTTTTCTAGCAGTCCCAAATACCAAGAATACACGAGAGCAGCTTCAAGGCAATTTCAACTTTCTCATAATCCTCATTTCATTGGTAGCTTTTCTGTTATATTCTTTATCACCTTGTTAGAGTAAAATAAAACGTGGTTTTTCTAAATGACCTTTCTTCAGCCTTTTTCTGAGACTGTAATAACCTCAAGGCTAAAATTCAAGAGCTCGTAGAACTGTATTTATTAATGTTTATACAGAACCTGTTTTGAAGTTCAGGCTTGGTAAAAACAATCCTTTCAGTGTTGAGATAATTTTTCCGGAGGGATAAAACAGGGACATCACTTCTTTTTCACTTATCTTAATTACTCTGCATCATTTTCACTGTAGCTCTCATGATGACTTCTTCGCTAAAGCAGAAAGAGACACAGTTTTATACGCAGACGGCCTGGCTTTACTGTCATGAAATAGATTTAGTTGAAAACTAGCCTTGTTTAATTACTAACAAGAAAAATACAATCAAATATTCTAAATAAAGCTTCATCATTTTGGGTATCCCACGTTGTTTATCCAACTTGCATGCCCAACTGTTTTAAACAATGAAGGCTTTCCTCTATCTTTGAATTAATTTTTTAAACCTTTTAATACAGAAGGACACCTTAAATTTACATTGCCTACTGTGTGACAGGTGCTGGTTGTTCATGAGTTTTGCTTTTGTTTGGTTTTTGTTTGTTTTCTTGTTGTTGCTACTGTTTTTAATAATGTACGGTCATCATCATTTGCATATATTTGAGGTAGGAGGCCAGACGCAACTCTGGAGGTGGGACTTGCACTCCGGACCAAATTAAGGATTAGCTTACACAGGGCCAAAGCTAAAGCTGCTTTCCATAGACACACCCACTCGCGTACCATGTCAGTTTACCATTGCCATGGCAACACTTGGAAGTTACTGTCCCTTTCCATGGCAACAACACAACAATCCAGAAGTTACCACCCTTTCCCTAGAAATTTCTGCATAAACCACCCCTTAATTTGCATATAAATAAAAATGAGTATGAACAGGACTGCAGAAGTGCCTCTGAGCTGCTTTTCTGGGCTCACTGCCTATAGGGCAGTCATGGTCATCAGGAGCAGTACCTCTGCTGCTGTACATTGCTGCTTCAACAAAAATTGCTGCTTAACCCATCTGTTTAACACCACCAGCTTACCCTTTAATTCTTTCCTGGGCAAAGCCAAGAACCCTCCCAGGCTAAACCCCAAACTGGGGGCTTGCCTGCCCTGCATTACAATGACTTCACAGTCTTTCTGGAGTTAAGTTGTTGCCATAGGTGCGATAGTGATGAGAGTTGAGGTCTTGATTGGTCACTGGTTTGCTTGTTAAAGTGGAGCTGGAATTAGTTCTGGGTGATGATTTTGACTCTGTTTTCAGGTTCCTGCGACTCCAGCTTGTAGGAACAGAGTGACTTCTGCTTAAGCATATGTCTGTATCACATTCCTCACCACTCAGGAGAGGTCAGTATGGGATAGCTGCATTTTTGGTTCTCATAGGAGAATAGGATCTAAAACTTGCCATCAGTTTTTTTGCCAAAGATGAAGCAAGAGAAACACTACAGATAGACAAATACCAGGCAGATGTGTCTATTCCTTTATGCTTTAAAACTCAACCTGTTGTGTAAGCCAAATCAGAAAGGAGCTCAGAACTCATCTGGGCCACTTTATGTTATCCACCTGAAATTGCTATCCCCATCTCTATGACACATTTTTCTCATGCAAATAACTCCCAAAGAAACAGTTATGCAAATCATGTCTTTCTTTACCACCAGACTGCTGTTGAGTATGCTGCATACTCCATTAGTGGTTGTGTTCTGTACATAAGGACCCAGAAATTTTTCTCCAATCCTAATACCAAGAATAAATATGTCTTTCTTGGAAGTCTATCTTTTTCTATCTTCTGAATACTGTGAATTCTACAAGATGATTACATCTCTTCAGTGATTGCTGGAAAACTCAGAACAAAGTGTGTAGATTTTGATCCAAATTAGGTTAGAGCTAAAATCATTTTTAGCATTAGGTATGGAACTCAAAGCACCGTTTGTGTGTGTGTGTGTGTGTGTGTGTGTGTGCGTGTGTGTGTACTAATATCATCTCTGGATTTTTTATTTTATTCTAATCTCACCTATTTTAATGCCTTTTATTTTCTAGGTATCAAGATTAAAGGAATATATGGAAGCATTTTAAAAATATGAGCAATTAATAAAGAAAAACTTAATTGAAAATGTCAATAACAAAAAATTCAATTATGCATCTCTCTTCCTTTACATGCATGTGTGCTTATGTATACACACATATACGTATAAAATAATTATTTGCATGTATTTTTATAAAGTATTTTGTCAAACTTAAAAAATCAATCGCTTTGTTTTCATATAGGACTACCTGGCATTCTGTTTTATAATGTGTTATAATTTATTTAAAGAGACTCTAACTTTGTCAGACGTTTGAATCTTTTCCAGATTTCTGCTGTTACAAACAACCGTGCCACACTCTTTATAACAACTCTTTGTGCACTTTATTCATGAATATAACTCAATAATTCTTAAGCATGGCTGTGCATCAAAATTATTTTGTCTAATAATCTCTTTACATCCTTTGAGACCAAATTTAAATTTTACCTTTTCTAGAAAGAATTTCTAAGGAAGCATGTCATCTATCCTAGACAGAATTATTATATTTCCTAATATTTCCCTGTAGATTTTTTTATATATTCTTGAGGGGTGTTAAACTATTTTAGTATTGTATTAAAAGTGGCATTTAACCAAAAATGTGCATCAGAATGCCATAGTTGTGAAGTTAGAAAATACGGGCCGGGTGCGGTGACTCATGCCTATAATCCCAGTACTTTGGGAGGCCGAGGCAGGTCGATCATGAGGTCAAGAGATCCAGACCATCCCGGTCAACATGGTGAAACCCCATCTTTACTAAAAATTAAAAAAAAATTAGCTGGGCAGGGTGGCACACACCTGTAGTTCCAGCTACTTGGGAGGCTGAGGCGGGAGAATTGCTTGAACCCAGGAGCCGGAGGTTGCCATGAGCCGAGATCATGCCATTCATTGCACTCCAGCCTGGGTAACAAGAGCGAAACTCAGTCTCAAAAAAAAAAAAAGGATACACTGAGTTCTGCTTCCCCTAAGGATGCAAAGAGCCTCAAGAGAATGGAACTCCTGATCTGACAAGAAGAAAAAGCTGGATAACTTACAAAATAATACCTATTTTTTATGTACCAGATTGGTGAGGTCCATTCCATGGCAATAAAATGAATGAAATTCCAAAGAGTGGCACCATTCCACGGGAATATGGGCACATAACCTGCTTCACCTTTTCAAGAGCACAGGAGGAAGAGGGGACCACTGTAGTAACCAGTAAGAAGCAATAAGCTAAAAATCTTAAGAAATTCCTAAAGGCCAAGTGTGCGCCAGTGTTTCCCTTTGGTGTAGCTGGGAATGGAAGGCACAAGGGGAGTGTGTATGTATTTGCAAGCTCTTACCAAGGGCTTCCACCCAGTGCTCAAGATTGGGACAAGGCAGAAGAGACCCCTCTTGGTAGTACAGGCATACAGGAGGTGATTGGCTGCCACTGGAGGAGTCAGGAAACACTGCTTGCTCCTCTAGACCCTTTTCTCAAATGAAAAAACATGAAGCACTCCTGTTCCCATGGCCCAAGGAAAGATCCTCTGCTTCTGTGTAAGGTGGAGAAGTAAAAACTGCTAGAAGACAGGAAAACCTCATAGGACCATGATCCTACAAGGAATACAAAGCAGAATTCTGCTACCTTTGAAGAGGGGACAGAAAAGTTTCTCCTTCCCCAAACCTACCATAGATATAAGAAAGAATTTGGCTGCCATGAAGAGGCTGAGAAGTAATGATTTTTTTAAAAGCCTACATCCGAGACCCAGGAGCACAACAAGGTAGACTGGGAGAATCAAGAATTACCCTGTTTCCACTGCAAGGCTAGCTCCAGATCACAGTTACATGGTCTGTCATTGAGGAAAGGGGCAAGAGCATGGAAAGAGACCTCATGTGCTGGAAGCATGCAGGAACTTCTGAAAGCTCGGAGAGAACTGGAACCCTGAGAAAACCTCTCCAGCACACCGGGTTCTAATTTAAGTAGATGGTAACAGTGGCCCACTGCAAGAGGACTGTGAAGTCTGTGATGCAGTGAAGGCATGATGGCAACGAGAAATTGAAACCCCTCTCACTCTTGAATAGACAGACTCAAATTCCCTTCCCATCCATCCCCACCCCCCAACACATGCATGCACGCATGCATGCACATACATGCACAAGGATAAAATCCAGCTTGACTGAAAGACCTACACTCATGCCTTTCCCTGGGCATAAATACTATTTGCCTCAGTCTCTACTGATATTCTACATGTGAAATTTGGTACTGGATAAAAGATTAGAACACACACACACAAACACAGATATAAAAAATCAGACTCAGAGATAGCGGAGCTATCAGATGGTAATTTTAATAATTGACACATTAAGGGATCTGGTGGAAAAATAGACAAAATCCACAGACTCAGGAGAATTTCAGCACAGAGATAATAGTCACATGAATATGCTAAAAACAAAATACATGGTATCCAAGGCAAATCTCTTTGATGACTTATTCTGCCAGTTGGATAGCACGGAGGGGAGAATAAGTAAATTTGAATTTGGGTCCATAGAAATTAACCAAATTGAAACACAGGAGAAAAAGAAACAGAAAAAAACAGATATATTAGAATATTAGATTTCAAAAATATTAAAGAAATAATGGCCAAAATTTTTCCAAACTTTAAACAAAGACAACAACCCACAAATCTATGGATTTTGAAGCAACTTGATCAAGATGAATACTAAACAAATCAAACTTAAATACATCACTCCCAAGCTCCTGGAAACCAGAAATAAAGAGTCAATCTTGAAGTCATCCGAGTAAAACAAACATTACATAAAGAGGAACAGTGGTACTAATGAATTAAGATTTCTTTTTGGAAACAATGTGTATTTGTTTCCTAGGTCTGCCTTAACAAATTCCTGTACTTTGTGCAATTTAAAACAGGAGAAATTTATTTTCTTACAGTTCTGGAGACTAAAAGTCTGAAATCAAGCTGTCAGCAGGGTCATGCCCGCTTCCTTAGAAGGCTGTAGAGAAGAATCCTTCTTTGCTGCTCCTGGCTTCAAGTGGCTGTCACAATCCTTGGCTTATAGCTGCATCACTCCCGTTTCTGCCCCTGGCTTCACATGGCTTCTTCCCTCTGTGTGTGCTTGTGTTTCTCCAAATTCCCCTCGTCTTACAAAGACATTGGTAATTGGATTAACACTCACCCTGATCAGGTATGACCTAATTTTAACTGGTTTACAACTGCAAAGGTTGAGTGCTAGGTTTAGGACTTCCACATATCTTTTTGGGGGACACAATTCAACCCACAACAGATGTCCAAGAGGATTTTAATTAAATGACTTTGAAATTAACACTTAGATATTGGGGGAATTAATTTGTTCAATCCCTAAATTTTGTTTAATTGGTCATGTAAGTATTACTAATAGAATGTAGTTGGTTTCATGTAGAAAAATATTTTCCTTGTTTCAGACAAGATATATAAATATGCATTATGCCAAATAAAACCCAAATGAAAAGTAGGCTAGACATTTGTGAATAAATCAATGAAAGAAGGAAAGACTATTGGGGGGGAAAAAAAAACATTGTAATTTTGAATACTAATGTTTGAAGCCAATCAAATTAAACCTTTAGAATGCTTATATTCTATTTTTGTCATTTTTAGGATTTCATTGAATCATTTGGAACTTTAAATTTTCAGTTTGGAGATTATTCTAGTTATTTTTTTTGATATGCTGTTTGAAAAGCGTGTGTATGTGTGCACGCACGCGCGTCTCTTTTAGTTGTATAAGAGATGACTTTAAGGTTGAACTGTAGATATATAAAGCATACTTTGGAGAATCGATTCTTGTTTCTGGGCTTATGAGTAGCTAGTGTGACATTTGAAAAATGACCTTAATGAAGAGTTTTTCTTTTCTATGCCCTATAGTTGTATGTGACACCACAGCCCAAGGTGACGGTGTCTTCACTTCAATGCCATCTTTTGTCCCAGAGGCAATTTTTGCTTTAGTTACCCCAACTGACATTGGAATAGACCCAGTAATGTTTTATTCATGAAAGTAGATCTTGTGAATATAGCTCCCAATACACCAGAGAGACAAAAATATTGCTACGATTGCACCTAAACTAATCTGTAGTTATGTAACAAATTGACACATAAATTAAATTTTCACTGCTAATGCCTGCTTAACTCTGTAATCATACTTCAGTTTGGAATTCTGCTGAAGTAATTAGGTTAGCTCAGATTTGCTCATCAAAGATCACTGAAAGCGAGAAAGTATATGGACTTCTGTTTTTAAGCCACATGTTTCACACTCAGGGGAGATTTTAAGTGATACCCGTAACTCTATGCCTATTCTTTTACAGCTTATTGAATTTGAATCAGCTGCTGGATGCCGTTGTTTTTTCTTGGGAACGTATTTATCCCATTGTGGGCATGTTCCTGTCTCCAACTCTCCGGCACTTTTTCTTTGCTCTTTATTGAGAAGTCAACTTTGTGCTGAAGAAGTTTCTGTTTTCCATATGATTGATCTTCAGGTGGTGGGGGAGCCCTCACTGAAACAGTGGTTTTAAAAAAATTACACCCTTTCATCTTTGGTCTCATCTTGTGGAAGAAAGAAGAACTGAGCTATTCTACCAACTATTGTGAACTGTTCAAATTTCCTCTGGGGAGAAAAACCAGTTGCTTTCAAAGCTCTGAGGAGTATCAAAAAATGCTCCTAGGCTAAATACAGTAAATAAAAGGCAATGTGGACTTTCAAAAGACTGCTCCAGGGGCACACGAGAAAGTTTTAGCTGGTGTGAGAATCACTGAAACAGAAACCTGGGGCAGGTGGGGGGAAGGAACAGATGAAATCAGAAAGAATATCTATAAATTTAGCCTATATTTATAGGGATACCTATACTCATGGTCTTGGTGAAATGAAACACTGAAAGAAAATATGTGCAATCTCTTTTTAGAGTTTGTGACCTTGCAAATTAAAAATGGAATTTACTGCTTTGTGCATTAGATTTATTAATATGGACTTGTTCTTACATAGCTCTTTAATCTGTCTTTATAGGTCATTATTTTTTACAACAGGCTCCTACCTTATCTTTTGGATTCTAGACTCACTGCTTTAAATCTATTTTGTGAGCATGCTCACACGCATGCGCGCACACACACACACACACACATACAATTAAATACTGAAGACATTTTTTGCCCTGGAGGGGGACTTCAATCACCACCTTCTGAGAGTTGTCCTTGTGTAGTTTTTCTTTCTCATTGGATCGGGTTTGTTCTGTGTAACCAACAGTGTGTAACAGAAGTGATGGTGTGCTGCTTATGAAATTAGATATTAAAAGACTAGCGTTTCCTTTCTGGATGTATTTTTGTTCCTTACCTCCCTCCCTCCATCTCTTCTCTTCTCTTCTCTTCTCTCTCTCTCTCTCTCTCTCTCTCTCTCTCTCTCTCTCTCTCTCTCTCTCTCTCTCTCTCCACTCACTGCTTCCTTTGGGGAAAGTCAGCTACTACATAGTGAACACACTCAGGCAGGCTATGGAGAAGTCTCCCTATCAAAGTTACAGAGATCTCTCAACAACCACCTGAGATAGATTGGAAGCAGACCCTTCAACCCCAGACAAGCTCTGCGATGAGATTGCAATCCCAGCTTCTGGCTTGGCTGCAGCCTAAGGCACCTGAGTCAGAACCATCCAGCTAAGCCCCTTCCAGGTTCCTCACCCACAAAAAACACTGAGATGACACATACGTATTGCTTTAAGCAGCTCAGTTTTGGATAATTTATAATATATAACTAATATGGATTTCTTTTTTTAAAAAACTAAAAACCTATTTTCAACTTCCTTAACGTTAAAATTCTCTGCCTACTGTCATGCACATTCACATTTTGTCTGCCTATTCTACCTTATTATTCACCCCAGATGAGTTCTATATACTTGCCTAGCCAGAATACATTTTTTTTCATCTGCTTATGCCTTCATCCACATTAATTTTATTCATATTCTTCCTTCCAGGCAAAAATATCTATTTCTTTCATTTTACCTTACTACTTAATGTCTATTCATTAAATCAACATACTTCTTGAATCTTCCAGGACTAACCCAGCGCACTCTAACAACTTTCTTGTTTCACTCCATAGCAGTTAAAAATTACAGTATATAGTTAGTCTTCAGGCCATATTTTATACTGGTCATTAAAAATTCCTCAGAGGCAATTCTATAATGCATGTTGGTTGTCTGCACTGCATGCTCCACTTAATCAGAATAAGGAAAGAGCAATTCTCATTTTCATTAAAATTAAAGTACATACATAGGAATATATATATATATATATGCACATATACATACATATATACATATGGTAATAGTCTTTATCATAAAATGTTTTCACTGTATTTGCAATAAATAATTATGAGCTTCTACACCCCACAATAAAATCCTTCAGTTCAGGAAATTTTGCCCTCAATTTTGTATTTCCTCAGTCTTACACAGTGCCTGGCATTGACGAGTTACTCAATAGTGTTACTGAACTGGAGTGATTTGGTTTTTATTGTCATTTCTCTTCCTGCGTGTGTTAGTGAAGGTTGATAATCATGTCAAATGACTGAAGGAAATGGAGCACATTAGGAGTGCACTTGATCTACAAAGTGGGTAATCAATACCTACAGAACGGAGAGTAAAATATGCTCTATATTAATATACCTGCCATTGGTTTTCCAAGGACAATTGATTGATTTCTCACATACCCTGAGGGTATGTGAGGCCTTTCTGTACCTACCCTTTGACAAATAAAGAACATCAGGTGTTAAGTTTCACAATAATATTCACACAACAACCATGCCAATACCTGAAAGAGTCAAAATAAAACTCATTCTTCCAGGTGTGTTACTTCTTTCCTACGTTTCTGTTTCTACTAGAAATATGATTGGTGATATTCTCTTAGTGGCTTTAAAAATTCTTACTACGATATTCAAGGCCTTTCAAGTATGGATTCTTTTCTATGTCCCAGGTTTAACTCGCTAGTGACACTAGACCAGTTTAGATTTAATTACATGCTTTACTAATAGGATCGCCAGCGTTAGCAAACAAAATGGGCAATTTGAAAACCCAGTTAAATTCGAATTTTAAATAAACCCAGGAAATCAAAAAATGATAATGCATTGACAATGATTGTCTTAGAACAAATAAAAGCTTTCCTTTCTTTACATTTTTATGGAAAAGGTATATTTTGGATAATTTAGAAATAAGAGAATATTACTGTCCTCCAAGAATCAACAAGTAAAATCAACACAGAGCAGGAAAATTTGGTTGACTATGAAATATAAACAATGAATATGGAATGCAGGATCTGATAAAGAGTTTTCTATTTGTAATAATGTAATCTGTATTAACTCAGTAAAATGTTTGATTAGCTGGAAACTTTTCACTGGTTCACTGTGCTATAGCAGCTTTCACCTTTATTTGTTGCTCATCAAGAATTAGTTGCACTTTTATCTACCAATCTATTTATTGTATAATACAATTTAGCAAAATGTCATACAATTTTCAATGAAACTTGAAAATGAGAGTTATTTCTATGAAAACTAAAATATATGTTTCAAAACTTCATAAAGGCAGGATGTAAATAAACACTGTTGAATGTTGGATGTGGATTCAAAATACAAACTGTAAAAGATTGAGAAAACAGCGCCAACATAAAATTTCCCAATCATTTTATAGGCAGATTGCTTTAAATGTGTATGAGTTTTTGATTCACTTTAAATGAGACAAAGCTAGAAGAAGATGGGTGAATGAATGTGCCTTTCCAGGTTTGGAGTTTAAGAAATGCTTACAGTAAACACATACGTTTTTATGCTATCATTTTAATTCAATATTTTAAATAAGTGATAAACCACTGGTCCCTTTCACATCAAATAAGATCTAGAAAAGTTAACATATTTATTAATATGTTAAATCTATTCGATAATATTAATGTTGCCTGAAGAAAAAATAAACAAGATGAACAGAAGATCCTCAATGTTCATGGCAGAAGAAATTTTAATTTAATATACTTTCATTATTTCCATTAGCAAGTTTATCCTTCTACAAAAATCAGCCCTTAAAGTTGTACATGCTGTCTTAAGTAAGAACTTTTGATTAATTCATCTGAATTCACTTTCCTTTGATTATTTTTGTGAAGCAATTGTTTATTTTGGTTTTTATTTGAGTTGCTACCTAATGTATTTATCAAGACAGACTGTGGCTAAGCAGATGATGTAGATTTTTTGTCTTTGGCTCTGATAACTCTTTGAAATATATTAACTCTTTCAAAGACGGAAAACAGTTTCTCCAACTTCTCAGCCTATCTTAAATATTTGTTTCCCAACCAATTCAGCACCCTTTCTATGAATAATACAAACAGAATTTCTGGCAAGTTTCTGTAGTCTGCATGACTCTTTTTTTTTTTTTTAGAGAGACGGAGTTTTGCTCCTGTTACCCAGGCTGGAGTGCAATGGCGCCATCTCGGCTCACCGCAACCTCCGCCTCCTGGGTTCAGGCAATTCTCCTGCCTCAGCCTCCCGAGTAGCTGGGATTACAGGCGTGCACCACCATGCCCAGCTAATTTTTTGTATTTTTAGTAGAGACGGGGTTTCACCATGTTGACCAGGATGGTCTCGATCTCTTGACCTCGTGATCCACCCACCTCGGCCTCCCAAAGTGCTGGGATTACAGGCTTGAGCCACCGCTCCCGGCCCCTGCATGACTTTTATAGTGATACTTACAATGCCTTTCAATGTATAAGCATTCATATACACATTTTATTTCTCCTACTGTTTTATAAGTGCTTGAAGGCAGAGATTTATGTCTTCTACTTTGTTTTATGCCTCATAAACCCAGAGAATTATCTGGCACATAGAAAGTTGTATGTTGAGTGTATCTGAGTTAAACTGAACTAATAAACTTCTTGATGTCCAAAATCTAGTAACTCAGGCAGGAGGTGTTGCCCTATTCTTCAGCATAAACAGACAGTTACAGTTTGCTGCTAAAGGGAAACTTCTGGAAAAGTACATCTATTTCTCTTTTGCATGCTGTAAAAATCTAACCATCTGGTCCCACATCTCCCCCAACATGCTGTCCTGTTAAAATTAAGTATGTTTCTCTTTGGATCCACAAACCAGCAAAGCAGCATCCTTAATTGTAAGACAAGGATGACTACTCTTCAGCCATCTTGGCCCTGACGTTCCCTTTTCCTCTACAGAACATTGTGCAAGATTTGAAGATAGAATTGAAAGCAAATGCAAGAAGTAGAATGACTAAACTCTGCCAACTAGTTATTTTAGCTTCTATTGGTGAAATAACTTGTTGGTAAGGATTTATTTATTTAAACTGGACATAAAATTGTAATTGTTCTTAATAAAAAAGGAGCATATATTAATATTTGAATATGGATATATTCAAAGAACTTTGCATAGCTACACCAGTAAACTCAGGTACAAAGCTGTCCTCTGTTCTCTACTCTGCGTTTCTGTCATTAGATGGTATGAAGCATGCCATGATGAGAAAATTACCCTAACCTTTACATGGCTTTCTTTTAGGAACTCTATTTCAGACAGCTTCCCTTCAGTTCAGGAGCTTAAATCTACCTTTATTTCCTCTCTCCGATTTAATTTAATGTCTTCTTAACTCTGGTCTCTCTTTTCTCACTTTCCTTTTGCTTTACCTATTTTCTACCTCTAATTTCATCCTTGCTTTTAAATTCTAAAAGAATATCCTTTCGCAGAAATAGTAAACCTTTTTGTTTCTTTTGGGCTCAACTATTAATTTAATTTATTTTAAGTATTCTCACCTACTGCTTTGTGT